TGTTCTCTCTACACTGAGCCCTGTGTGGAGCAGGCAAAGCACTGGAGTGGTATTTAACCGCTCCCTTGTCTGCCGCGGTCTTGTAGGTTTCATGCACACAAGCCTCAGGGAAGCTGGAAGCTGGGAGGTCCTTCCCTGTTGTATGGGGCTGTGTGGGGGTGGCATTTGTAGCGAGAGTGTGTCTCAGTCTTTCCTACACACTTTGATGTCGTTTTTCATTCATCTAGGGGAGGGAGAAGGGAGTTCAGGAGTTTTCTCTGTTGCCATCTTGGTCAAAACTTGAAATCCTTTTTTTTGATTGGATGACAGGCATTGTAAATTTTAAATTACTGGTTACTGAATATTTTTCTCAGACTTCTAACAATGTTAGACTTTGTTCTGACAGTCTGGTGAGTTGCATGAAAATTCTTTTGATCAGGAAAAAGAATTGTCTAGGGGACGAATCAGCAAATGTTCTGTAAAGGATGAGATGGCATGTGTTTTAAGCTTTGCAGGCCCTGTGGCCTCTGTCTCACCTAAACAAATCTGTTGTTCTAATGTAGAACCCTCCTTAGAGAGTATATAAATGAGTGGGAAGATCTGTGCTAAGTAAAACTTTATTTACTAAATCAGGCAGTGGGTCAAATTTGGTTCTTGGTTTCCTGACCCGTGGTCTGGAGTCATCTATTCTGTAGGAACATTCAGCCCAGTTACTAAAGCATAGCCTTTCTCGCGTCTCTGCTAATGCCCTAGGGATTTCACGAGGGCCCTCCACTTCGGCTGCTGAGCTTTAGAGGGAGCCACGGCCCTCTCTAAGGGAGAGCAATCGTCTTGCTACAGGTACTTGGCAATTATTCTTCCCTCTGGATTTTTCCTTTGCCTGACCTCATGGAGTTTCACCGTAAGGTAAACATGCAGATTGATATTCAGCCTGAGACTGCAAAAGATCCTTCTGCAGATTTTCAGGGGTGTTTCCCTGTGTGGTTCCCTCTTCCTGTTCCATTTACTATTGCTGTGCTTTGGGATTTCAGATATTAAGGTATACTGCTTTTATGATCACTTTCTTGAGACAGAGAGCTGGTGTGTAGTCGTAAACCTGCCCTGGCAATGCAGTTAGTGATACAGTGTCTCCATTAAGTGAGCCCTACTATCCAAGCAGACAGAATTCAAGGGCCTAGGTATAACCAAAGAGAGAAGCTAACAATGTAATCATGACTAAATGTGTGAAATATACTTTCATCTAAATTTGAGTATCCAAGTTTTATATGATAGCTATATTAGTCAGGGTACTCCAGAGAAACAGAACCAATAAGATATATATGTACAGAGAGACACAGAGAGAGAAAGAGACTGACTGACTTACTATAAGGAATTGGCTCAGACAGTTACGAAGGTTCCTGAGTGTAGAATCTGCATTGTGGACTGGCAGGCTCAAGACACAGGAGAGCCAATGGTGCAGGTAAATCCAAAGGAAGCTGACTACATACATCCCTCCTGCCCAGAATAATCTTTTAATCTATTCAGACCTTCAGTTAATTTGAAGAGGCCCACCCACATTATAGAGGTCAGTCTGATATACCCAGAGTTTATTAATTTAAATGCTAATTTCACCCAAAACACCCTCCAAGTCCACAGATACAGTTAACGGTCACAGTAACATTCATCTTAATCCCTTCAGCCTTATTAAAATACTGACAAGAAGATAGACAACTTACAATGAAGATATTTGATAAACTAACAAAGACATGCTCATTTTACAGGATGTAACAAAGAAGAGGTGTTGTGAGGAGGAGGTGTGGGTTAAAGATGCATTAGAATGGGAAATACTCAAGAGGTTGAGATAAAGGAAAAAGAGGTGCATTTTTGTATTCTGTTATTGACTGTTGTATCTGCTGTTGTCCCAAAGCCTTACATGCCTGTGGCCCCTAAGGAGACTGAAGACTCAGGAGCACTAACGACTGCAGATACTTCAAAGAGTCATATGTGAAAACCCTCCAGTTAATTACTGTGATAATTAATTGGCAGTTTTAATCACACAAGGGCTAAGAGATTTTTCACCCTTAGCCTTTGGTGTACTCATTTGTAAAAAGAAAGCAGTATTATACACAGCAATAATTAAATGATTAAACTTTGTTAGAGGAGTTCTCTTCCTTCCAACCCATCTTTTTTTTTCCTTTTTTTTTTCCCTTTGGCTTTTTCGAACCTCTTATCAGTCCTCAGGCCAGAGCCAAAAACTTAATGTGCTCCTGATTGATTTGTGAGGAATTTTCCCCAGCTACCTTGTTTTCTTTCTTCTGCTCCCAGGATACTTAAAATGTGTAAAATTCCTCTGCTCCCTTGATCCTTATCCTCCACCCTCAAAGATAAGTGCTTTATCCAGTGAATAGGAATATTTTGGTTCACATCTGCAATCACACTGGGTGAAATGGGGAATAAAGACACAGAATCTTGTGCCCTTCGGGTCCAACACAGCACTCTCCCAAGTACTTACTCCAAGGTACAGAGCCCCCTCCTTTTTCACAGTGTTCTAAACACTCATTCGAACACTCGCTCTTTACCTATGAAAATATAATAAAATGACTTCTAATTCACTGGTAGCTTTTTTTTTTTTGTCTTTCAGAATAACCTGTAAATGCTCTCAGAGCTCTTATGGCACATTTTATTTTGATCTTTGGAAACAATACAGAGCCCTTTGTAAACATTAGAGGGAGTAGATGATGCTAGAATAGTGTCAAGTGGATCTGTTTTCATTAATCATACGTTCAAATGTGCACTTTCAGGCTTTATATGTGAATCTATCCCACGGCAATATGAAAACATTTAGGTAGGTATTGCTGAACATTATGTGCAGCTGTGTGATCATTCATGAACATCTATATGAAACTTTCATTGCCCATCTAAATAAATGCCACACTAAGCATTCGGTATATTTGAACGTGCAGTCTCTCCTGCAAAAAAAAAAAACACTCTTTCTTCAAACCATAATGTTATACATTATCTTACTACGGGGCTTTTAATATCATATTAGAGTGTGATTCTGTACATATCATCTTTGGGATTTTGTGCTGTGAGCCATGGTCTGTTCCTGTACTGTGGTGCTGGGATGAATGGACCTGAGCTTTATTATCCCACTGCGAAGAGAAAGTAGAGCAGAGGTGCTTGTCACTTACATGACTGTCTCTTATTTGGATTGTTTCATTTAGAGAATAAGTCTCAGTGGCATTAAGGGTGATCTGAAAGTTAAATATTGTAAAGGATTTCCAAAAGTAACAGTGGGCAGCTTCCAACAGCACGATGAACAAAATCCACTTAAAACTCTAGGTTGTATTTATTTTTTTTTCTTCACTTCTTTTTATTCTCCTGTAAGCTTCCAAGAATTAATTAAGCAGCATCCCTCCCTTTTTTTTCTAAAGCCTGCAGCGATACGGGGCTTCCTGAAGTTAGCCATTGTAGGAAGTGTCAGACATAAGCTGCCCGATTGCTGTAAAATCCTACGTTTCTTGGAAGAAATATATTGTCATTCTCAGAGAAATGTTAAATAACAAAACTCCAATGTGTGTAACTTAAAATAGCTGTCACGTGAGTCAACACTGATGACAGTAGAAAATAAACCTAATGAAACCTGAATCAGCTTACTTAAAACTCCAGGAATTATAGTAAAAACAGGAAGGAACAAAGATGATAAATTTCTTAATGAATGCAAAATCAAGGAGTGACCAACCAGTACAGCGTCATTCTCAGTCACTTTCTGTAATGGGTAATATGACATGCACCCAGACACCCCCTACAGGACGGGGTCACTCATTCCTCACCTTCTGGGAAGGCCAACAGCTGAATCCCTCTCTAGAAATTTCCTTTCGCTCAAGAGAGCATCTCTACTCAGGTCAGGTCTCATACCGTAGTGGTCTCAAGGCAAAGTCACTCTGAAGAGCCATCCCAACTCCAGTACCTCCCGTGAAACTATATGAGCTCATCCTTTGCAACTGCATTGAAGTTCAGCTTCTCTCTTTGTCCAAGGCTAGTGCTTTTCCTCCTACAAATGCTGGTGTTGAGAGCACTGCCCAAAACTTTCCACCTGCAAATCTCCAGCTCAGAGTCTCTTTTCCAGAGATCCTAACTTAAGACAATTAGTGTCAGCAGTGGTCTAAGTAAGTAAACCATTCTTACTATGGATATTGACGCTGGATGCCCTGCCAGCAAGCTGGCAAGGAGAACGCCATCACTGGTGGGAGGTGCAGCCCTACAATTATAGCAGTTAGTTTATTAAAACTCTCACCTGTGATAAATGGGTTTGATATACTCACAGGTGCAGTATCTCAGGTTTTTCAGTGACTGAAGGAAGTAATAGTTAGAAGGAAATCGCATCAGGGGTCTCCTACTGAATGACTTTGACGCACCAGAGAAGACCAGTATAAGGCTGTGGGTGATTAATCACCAGTTGAAGGTGAAGTGCAAAATTCAGAGGGCCTCCCTGGCAGCATATAAAGAGACTCTTATCTCCTGCAGCTGGAGACAGGAAAAACACTGAGAATTCAGCCCAGGAATTAATTACAATAATAGCAGAGAGCTTTTCAGAGAAGGTTGAATTTCCAACAAAGACTGTGCCAGTGAGAGATTCCTGGTTGGGAAGCGTGAGATCCTGAGGCTTGAGCCAGGAACATTTGGGTTGATGGACTCATTATATTAGCTCTTTATCCCTTGAAACCTTTGGGCTTGAAGAAGAGGCCTGCTCCTTCCTTGTAAGGGCTAGCATGCCTCCATTGCTTGAAAATCATTCAGGAATCACTGCCTCACAGGGCATCATGAACACCCCTCAGCACCTGGCTGTAACTCCCTTTTAGTTTCCAAGCCGGGGAAGCGCTGAGTAGGCTAAGGAAGATAGGGAACTGTATCCTCAAAGACACTTGAGGGCACCTCCCAGTAAACTTCTAGTGGGTTCTGCAGGACCGAATCAATATACGCTGCAAGGAGTTGGGAGAATTTTATTGAGACTGCATCCTGAGGGTCCTGTATCAAAAAAAGTGTGCCCATTTTGGCAACACATATGTTAAAATTGGAACAATACAGAGAAGATCAGCATGGCCCTGCACAAGGATGACACGCAAATTCACAAAGTGTTCCATATTTTTATATGTGTAACTGAATCATTATGTTGTACACCAGAAATTAACACAATATAAATCACTTATACTTCAATGAAAATTTTTTAATTAAAAATAAAGTGTAATAAAAAGTAGAACATGAGATTGGATAAGTATTCCTTAGTTTATTGATAAGGGGAGAACTATCCTATGATAAAGGACCTAAAAAAATAGAGCTAATATACTAAGATGGTTCTTGGAAGCTTGGAGAAAGTGATAGCCTATAATAAGTAGAATAGAAAAGCTAAAAACTGCCATGGCAGACATGGGAAAAAAAGGAATTTAAAAATACACAAAAGTGGCCAAGCTACTGGATATATTATGTAAGGCTGGGAAACTTACCACTTAACCATGTTCTGAGGGAGAGCCTGGAATCCACCTCAGTTAGTTCAAGATGTGCAGATACTAACTACTATATATAAAACAAATAAATAACAAGTTTCTACTGTACATCACAGGGCACTTCATTCAACATCTTATAGGGAGCTAAAATTAAGAAAATATGAAAACGAATATATACATGTATACATATGACTGAAATATTATGCTGTACCCCAGAAATAGACACAACATTGCAAGTCAACTATACTTCAATTAAAAAAAATAGTAATACACTGGTGAGAGAAACACCATCATCCTTGAGAAGCTCAAGGGCAGCTGTCCTCTCTTGGTAGGGCTCATGGCAATAAATGCTGTTAAAGAGCTGTGTTCTCTGAAGGTAAGAAGGATTTTTGCGAGCTTGGTAACACAGAGGTCCAAGGCAACATCTAACCGTCAGAAGCAAAGTGGGTACAACTGCCATGATGAGTAGCAAGTACCTGCCATGGGAGCTACCTCTCAGGAAGTTGCCTTTAAGTTACCTTTCAGACAATGTAAAACAATGCAAATAGAAACAATGCGAAAAGTCTACGAAAACACACGAGAAGCCAAGATTTGGAACTGGCACTGGCTCACTCGCTACCCAGCAGGTAAAGAAAATGCAATCCTGAACGGAAGGTGGGACATTGGTGCAAGGTGTGGCCCAACTCCTGACAATTTCACCAGTGGTGATCTGCAAAAATCACCTAGTAACACTTTGCAGGTGTGATGACATACCTATTGGTGTCAGAGAGGAGTAAATGTGAAATTCATGTGACCCACTTGGACACTTCTGTTGCTGGTTTCTTTTATTGTAATTGTGAAGAGACACTTGCAGCAACCCTGCTCTACGAAGACTGTGATCACCAAGGGCTTGGAACCCTCATGAATGGAGGTTTGGGTCAAACCACCAAATAAGCCACCAAGACTTTCAAAAGTGACTGCTGAGGAAGGAGACAGTGAGTACAGGATATGGCCCTGTGACCAACAGCAGTGACAGGCTATATTTGTTCAACCAACCACCGTCTTCCAAGGTTCCCCTCAGAAAGAGAAGCCCATGAGAATCAGAGAAGAACTGCTTCTTGAACACGTGTGGAGAAGTAGATCTGGGGCAGGGTGGGTAGGTTGGATGGGTAGAGGTAAGTGGCCCTGAAAATGTCCCCCTCACATAACTGATACATTCTGACTTCACTGCCACATTCCTGCCAGGACCCCACTTCCTATAGGCTGCTCCCAGCTAATGAATGATTGTGGCAGAAAATCCAGTGCCTTCCAGTGGACAACTTTGTCTTGAGGATTCTCCATATGCTTGATGAAACTCATAGAAGTGTACTAAAGGCTGGCATTTATTTTCCACGCAGCCCTCCTTCCTTCCCTCTTCGTTCACAGGGGTAAGACTTGCCTAACAGTCTGATGGATTTCCCTGCCTCCTCTGGCTGTCTCCTGGTATTCCTCATAGTCCCTTCCTCCCATACATCTTTTGTATCTCTAATCTTGTCTTGGCTTCTGTTTCTCAGAGGAAATAAACTAACACATATGTGATTCCCTAAGGGAGGGGAAATGCTTGAGGTGAGCCTCATGTTCACACTAGTTTCTAAATGTGTGCCACTTTCTGGATTAAAATGCAGAAAGTTAGGAGCCAAAGAGAATACAGTTTGCTTAACTGCAGAGCAGATACTGGATTTTTGGACCCCTGAGTATGCTAGAATTTGCAGGATAAGTAACAGAAGAGATAGAAATATACAGAGAAGTTGCCCCAGAATTCTGCTTGTGGTTCTTACGCATTATTGCTTGAGAGCAGGGCTGCAGTTGCCACAGTGAGTCTTAATAAGACCTAACAGAGAATAGCTGCTGCAGGATGAGAGCTAATGCAGACACCAGAGGTCATGTGAGGATGGTAGATGTTGGAGTCACAATATAACCAACACTTCCTCTAATGTATTATCTCTCTCCAATAGCCACCATACAGTTTTAGAAGAAAAGGAGAGATATGCAAAACATGTGACCCAAAGTCAAGAAAAAAAAGAGTTCATAGAGACATATCCCAAGATGACCCAGATACAGAAATTATTGGGGGGAAAAAACCTTTAAAACAGCTATAATAAGTATAGTAAAGATGTTGCAGGGAAAATTGGACATGATGAATAAGCAGATAGAGACTCTCAACTGATTTTTAAAAATCTACAAAAGTGAATTAAATGGAAACACAAAAACGCAAGATACAGTATCTGAAATGAAAAGTTTAATAGACAAGCTTAGTGGGAGATTAGATATAGCATGAGGAAATGTTAGTGAATTGGAACACAGTGCAGGAGAAATTATCGAACCTAGAGAATTAAGAGGAAAAAAAGACAAAACTAGGCTCAGTGACCAAGGCTAAATATCAAGTGATATGATACATGTCATCGGTGTTCCATAGAAGAGGAAAGAAAAAAATGGGTCAGAAAAAGAGCTCATGAATGATGGCTAAACTTCATGAAAAAATCAACCTACTTATCCAGAAAGCTTGTTAAACAACTTCTAGACATCATAATCAGACTGCTGAAAACTAAAGATAAGAAATAGAATGTTGAAAGATGTTGAAGAAAGCCAGAATTAAAGGTCCTTGCTTATAGAGGAATAAATACCTAAATCACAGCTGCCTTCTCATAAAAGAAATAATTAAATATAATGAAACAGCATCTGTAAAGTGCTGAGACAAAAACAATAAATACTATCTACTCAGTGTTCTATATCAAGCAAAAATACCCTTCAGAAAGTTGGGTGAGATGAAGAACATGTTGCCAACAGAACTGTATCGCAAAGAGTGTTGAAGGAAGTGTTTCAGGTGGAAGAAAAATGGTGCCACATGGAAATTCAGATGTGTACAAAATAAAGAAAGAAAACCAAAAGATGATAAACATACAGATGAATACAAACAAATATTTTCATGCTATATTATCTTTAATTTTTTTAAAGTAAATTAACTGAAGTAAAAACAATATTGGCAGTTTATAATATGTGCAAAATAAAAATATATGACAACAGCACAAAGTACTGGGGTAATACATGGAATTACTACTTACAATTTTCTTACATTTTACATGAAGCTTCATAATGTTATTATATGTTTTAAGTATGAACATTCTAATACATATAGCAGTCACTCTATAAAACTAATAACTAGAAATATAACTAAAGATGTAAAGAAAATAAAATGAAATGGTTAAAAAATGTTTGGAGTATGTACAAAAGGAGGTAGGAAAGGCAGGAAAAAAGAAAAGAAGAACAAAAAAAGGACCAAGTAGAAAAGTAGTATCAAATTAGTATGCCTAGACCAAAATATGTTAGTAATTGAGACTGAAAAATAGATTAAAAGCCCAAATTAGAAATTTAAAATTGTAAAATTTGAATAAAAAAATCAAGGCCTAATTACATCCTATCAGCAAATTCTCCTTAAAGGCAAAGATGAATAGAAAGAAGAAAAAGTTTACACCATACAAACTATCAATAAATACAGCATTGAAAACTCTCAAATCCAAGTCACAAAAGAGTATATACTCCATAAGTCCATCCCAAGGAGCTCAAGAACCAGATAAACTAATGTATGGTGAGACGAATAAGAAAGACTCATTGCATATGGTAGATGGAGAGTGAGTGGAGAGAGGACAGGATGATGGAAATGTTCTATGCGCTGGTCAGAATGCTGGTTATTACTTATAGACTTTACCAAACTCGTCAAATTGCACCCTTAGTAATAACAGTACATTTCACTGAACGTCAATAATTATGATATACATACTGATTTATTGATAATAAAATTAAAATGGCCCTCACTAAAGTCCACAGTGGACAAGGAGAAAGAATAGCTAAACTCATTGTTACACCTCTGTGGAAACTTCAGTTCTCATAGCCAATTGTACCTTTGTATAATTAAGTCTTTCTACCTTGATCAGGGACGACTGGGTTGTTGGTTTGATATTCCAAAGTTTTGAAGCCAATCTTTTAACTATAAACATTATTAATTTATTAAAGCAATATAATCAAGGGAAGACTTTCTCTAAGTTTAAGAGTCAGGAATATGTGTGTATCATGTTGGTTCTCTGGAATTACAGAATAGCTACATAGCTGTGAATATATAAATGTAACCTGACTGTAGGGATTAAGAATGCTGAAGAGTAAGTGTGCCCGTCAGGAGGGGTCAAGACTAAACCAGAAATACTACAGAAAAGAAACTTGAGGATTGTAAAGTTTTGGCAGCCAAGCATAATCCTATGGAAAAAGCTTTGGCCACCAGCCTTCAAATACATTTAGCCCACTGGCAAAATCATCCCTATGCTGAGGTGAATAAAACAAGCTATTAGCTTCAAGGGCTTAATAATGCAAGCCTGCCCTTTGACACGTGGAGCATTTCTGCAGTGATGACAAAATCATATATCAGAGTCAGTAATTTGGTGGCTAGACATTGGATCATGAAAAATTTACGATGGAAGAGTTGCCACTGTCTGAGGGTTTTAGGATGTGGACTAGCTAACCTTTCTTTTCTAACAGTGTTATTCCCATTGCTTCACCTGTTTTTATTTTCTGTGATTTTTATAGAAACAAATATTGTTGATATTTATTCTGTCTTTGATTCCTTTGGACCCTGCAGA